AAAAAAATTTCGATGCTTCAGACAGAAAAAGGCTTGATACGGTTGATACGATAATGATCTTTGGACGACTAAGAGGGAAAAATATTTTGATACGCACTCATCACCATAAAGAAACAGCTTTCGCTACCAAGATTAATTAGATTATAAAGTAAACAAAAAACGATACAACTTAGAAGTATTGCTCACCTTCAAATTTCGTTCCTGTCCTATAGGTGAAAACGGACAGAAAAGAAATGACTGGTTTAAAACGTTTTCTCGTCTCTTGCAAAAGTAGGTTTTTATAGTCAGTTGAGATCAAACAGTCCCTTATTCACAACCCGATGATCAGCTACCGTGCTCAAATAGAAAATTGCGAGGTCGCTGAATTGACACGGATCTCGGGCTCTTTCTCCAGCAGCGTGCAAATCAAAATTCTATCTCGAGTAGAAAAAAAGGGAATTTTATTCATCCACGTATGTATGTGTACAAACAAGTCTCTAGTCAGATCAACTGCAATGTAAATTTGGTAACTTTCATTCTCTCATTATTCCCGGCATAAGGTGGTAACACTCCAAATGATTTCTCCGCTCATTTATATGTTTTAGATGAGCAAAAGAGGTTTTCTTGACTTGGATGACGACAACTTTTGGGGAAACGATGACAGCAAGGTTTGAAAGAACCCAGGAAAGGACCGTTGGAAAATTTTGTAATTAAGGCTGATGTGACTAGTGAGCAAGAAGAGAGAGAAGGAGAAACGACTTCGTGTGATCTTGGGAAAGATGCGGAGAACGGATCGGATGAGCCTCAAGAGGACACGGAGGGAGCTTCTAAAGCTGATTTAGACGGTTGGGAAGACGTAGGTGAGATGAAGAAGAGTCAGGATGCAAAGATTGAATCTGGTAAGTGCATTTTTGTCTGATTGAGGTTATACAGCTGATCACTCTCAGGCTTCGGCCAGACTTCGCTCACAAGCGCCCAAAAGCGCTCAAACTCAGACAACTGACCGGAACTTCTGCAGCACGTTGGGAAAGTTCCGCCGGGTCACCTCTGGAATTTGGTAAACGTGCTGAGGAAGTTTCGGAAAATGGGAACTAA